AAAAAGGGAGTTTTATTTGGTGTTTTTTGGTCAAATTTCAGGTTTAATTGGTGCTATAGCTTAAAGGATTAACATTTTATGCTTTTTATAACCTAAGATCACGAACCACAACACATTTGGGTAGACTAAAAAAAATTAAATTATTGGCACATTTTGGAAATTTTTAATTGGGGTAACACAATTTTTGGCCAAAAATCGTAAAAAATTTAATTTTTTTGCGTTTAATGCCAATCAATAGAAAATTTTATTACGAGCACAACGCGATATGACACTTCATAATTGGAATACTCGTTGATGTGCTGTGAACAAAAATACTGCTTTTTTGGGTTAAATTCGGGTTAGGGGTACACTTCTGACATAATACATTTATTTTTCATTTTGTTGTCTTAGTGAGACATTTAAAATATTTAAAAAATAAATTACCTACTTTTTTTAAACATATAAAATGGTCTTGGTGGTCAGAACTGGAACAAATCGTCCCTTACTTAAGCTCAATATTCACTTTAAATACTTTATATCATGCAAATAAATGTGTACCCAATTAAATGGTTAACTCTCCCATGATATTTCATACAATAATCATAACAACATCCACATCATGTTCTCCACCATAAAGGTCATCTGGCAGTCATTACGTCTCACCTGGTCGCAATCCTCGCATCGCATTTCTGCCTGAATATTTTAACATAATTGCCATGTAAGCGAAATGTACAACTTTTATTGTTGTTGTGGCGGTGGCTCTAGCCTTTTTATATTTTTAGGCCAATTTATTTGTGCCGCCGCCAGTGGCATATGAATATGCGGCATTGTTTACGGGCTTAATTTGCATTTGTCTCTCATTGTGCGACGTCTGGATGTTTTTCCCGAGTGCATTGGCCCCTTGGTCTATGAGTATTACGCCCTTGTACAGATAAACAAACAATGTATTCATGTTTATGTGTGTTTTCCTTTTGGCCATGTGACAGTGCACTGGAAAATGCGAAGAAAAGTGATTATAAATAAATAAATACTAAACATCCTTGGTATATGCAAACATAAATGTAGATGGGGAAGTCAACCTGTCATGGTTTATGGAGTATGTGTACTAACTAACCCCCTGTTTCTCCCAGTGCGGCATTAATGTCGCTTTGCATTCACTTCAGATCGCACTTTTTGTTGAACTACGGCGGTTTAAATTTTCAATTCGCATGCAATGACTTAATTGTTCATAATTTTGTTATCAGATTAACACAAATTCCGCTTAACGATAATGACTTCATGCAGTTTATGGCCAGTGCGTGCGAAGGATTCGCGGCCAGGACCCTCGGCTTAACCATTATCAGCTGCACGACAGTCGCTTTGACCCCCTTTCGCCCATCCCCCCGCCAGAATTTTCTCGGGGGCCCATTGGATTTTATCGCAGGACAACGCTGATTAAATATCAACGTAATTTATTATTCAAATTAAGTTTATCGGCGAACAAAAGGCTCCAGCTCTCGGTGGGTGGCTCTTATATGGCGAAAAGGCGAAATGCTGAGTGGTCGGGTGGTTTTTGCTTCTCTGCGGGAGCATGGATATGTTGTATAATAAATTTGATAGGTATGTCGCGTGGGTGTGTGTTCCAAATTGACATATCGCTTTCGCACAAACCCACACTCACAAACTCTCTTGCCGATGGGCAAACAAATTAGCCGGAATACAGGAATACAGGCCAAAACACACGCACACTAATGCGAATTTTGACGCTCAGCGGGTTTTATCAAAAATGCATTTGTCATTATAAATGCAACGTGGCCGACCTGCACTCAACGTGCCTGCCTCACTCTTCCAGCCGATCTCATTTCGGGGTGAGTTAAATAAGCCATTCATTATGTCGAATCTACGGAAAACATTTTCTGAATCCCACTCGAGGCTGAGTAAATCTTGGTTGGCCAACCAAACTATCAGTTTCTTGGGGCAGGACTTTCAATGGAGTGCAAGGATATGATTTATTTCAGTCTTAAAATAAATTTAAGTTTAATTACCCAGGGTAATACATTTGCACGGAATAAAATATTCCCCTTTTAGGAATTAAAAAATGGGTTTAAATATATTTTTATTTATTTTAGAATTTATTTAAAATGTGCAGGTGAAAATAACGCTCCTTTTAGTACCAATATCATCGTGTTACAAATAAAATGTTGCATAATTTTAGACAGCTTTAGAGTTGATTTCCAAAACGTTAAGGCAAAGTATACTTTTAGCATTATCTACTGCGTTAATATTTAATAAAACTGATCTTATAATTTCCGTATAAGGTTTTTAAACTATTCCCACTAAAATAAATTATATCAGGTGAGTTTAGTTAAAGTTTTTCAAGAGCATCCGAGCAGCCGGCTACAACCAAGCCTGTTTGGCAAGTTGTTTAATTTTCAATTATAAATTCATATAAATTCAATGGTCGACGCGCGGCGCGTCAGTTCTCTGTGGCCATTATACCACTCAGCCACGCCCCTCCGCCCCTTTGCCCCTGCCACGCCCCCCGACCTGGGCGTTCGACAATGGGCGCCTTTATGGAGGAGTGGCCATTATGTTGCTATATAGCCGCTTTGGCTAGATTTGTGTGGCACGGTCAAAACGTGTTCAATAATTTTGTCAATAAAATGTCAGAGGAGGCACGAAAAAAGAGGAGAAGTAGGTGCCCAGTGTGTTTGCCACAAAAAAATGGACTGTTTTATATATTTTCTCCTCTTTTTTTGGGCCCGGTCGTGTGGCCTACAAATCGTCCCCTGAATGCGGTTAAAACTGTCAGGCCATAAGTTTACACAGGTTGAGGTGTGCTTTCTCTTTTTCGTTGGCTTTTTTTATCGGGGTCCTCCCGCTCGCACATTAAACTCATTGTGTTTATGGCATAAATTTGCATGTTTTCCACGTAAATTTTTCAATTTGAATGGACGCTTTCGATCCTTTCGGTCGAGGGTCCTGTCCTGGGCCTTTTGTGTTAGCTGGGATATTGTTGGGAGATGTTAAACAAAATTTAAAGCTGAATAAAGCTATCACCGTGTGGGAGAGCGTATCGCATCGGCTTGAAAGGGTTGATATTTTAAGGTGTCTGAGGTGGAGTTGGTTGCCTAAGATTGACTTAAGGCCAGTTTTATAGATTTATAGATTAATGTGTTCATAAAATGTATCATTATACTATTTAGCATTAACTAGAGCTTTAAGACTTATTTGAAATATTATTAAGTGTACCTACTTAGCTCCAAAAATAGGAACTAATAGGTTCTTCAACATTTTATATTTACAGTTTTAAGATTTATTTGAAATATTATTAAAGTGTACCTACTTAGTTCCAAAAATAGGAACTAATAGGTTCTTCAACATTTTACACATTGATCATTTAAATCCCCTGTCACCTCTGTTGTTGTCATCTATGGTTTTTATGAAGTATTTACATTTGAACTGTGTGTTTACACACTTTTACCTAGTGTTTTTGCTCGGCTCTCCCTGTGTCCTTGCCAACGAAGGACTTTGGATTTAGTTTTGGTTTTGTTGCCCGGCAGGAAATCGTGCTTATGTGTGTGTGTGAGCTCGGCCAGGGCATGTGTATAAGTGTCAAAGGCATGTGTTTAGCATGCCTCATTTGAGCGCAAATACACCTGCAGCCATCAATTATGCAAAGAGCCAGTTCCTCCTCGTCCATCCTGTTGCCAGGTCGGAATCGTCAGAGGCCTTCTCCGGCTACGTTTACGGCTAGGTCTACGGCGTTGGATATTGGCTCGGGGCTTTCGGGATAGAAGAATTTACACACTGCGAATATCAACCAAATATCCGTGCTGACAAAACTTTTGGCAACAACTAGTTTTATTAAAATCAAATTCGTAAAGGTGCCATACTAAAGTACAAGGTGCCTAAAAGTATGCAGTATATTTTCCTAAGACAACAATAACTTTTCCACTGCATACTTTTAGACACCTTCAAAAGTGAATTTTGAAATGTTAGATACTTTAAATCTCATATTAAGGTGCTTAGTATTGACAATAATATTGAATCTGAAATTTATATTAATTCGAAAGACAACGGTTACTTTTCTCTGCATACTTTTAGACACATTTGCTAACAAATTCAAGGCAACTTTGATTTTTATGAGGCTTACCAGCCTGCCATTGATGCAGCCATGAAATTTTCTCTCTGTGTAGTTAGCCTTCAGGTAGGCGGGACTTTCAGCGCCATCGTTAGTTTTGCCCCCTTCCACGCCCCATTTCCATTTCCCCGCAGCCCCAAATTTCCATTCAGCCATTCAACCAGCAAGTCAGCCAGTCGGCCATCTAGCTAAATTAATTTATTGGCCTTCCTCGCAAAGACCAAATAGCTGCAGTTTGCATAATCATCGCACACACTCTCGCCTGGAGTTGGACAGCTTATAAAATATTTATTTAAACTGCAAGTTGCCAGGCAACACTTGCTGAAGTCTGAATTGCAGATTGTCCAACCATGTCCATATATCCTTTGATGGAGAGTCAATTTGTTTGACCACCGACAATGTTTTCGGACAGGATACACAGTGTTTGATATTTGAGCGTAAGGGGATCCCTGGACTTTGCTTAATATGGAATAGTTTAACTTGGTACAATTTAAGTCCCTTTATGAATTTTATAAATCTTGCAATGAAATGTTATGCGATTATAAAACTAACAAATTAAATAAATCATTTAATCCCCTGTGTGCCTACGCCTATGCCGATGTGTAGTACCTGCCAAACGCACACAAAATTCATGGCAAAGGTCATTAAAAATCGTTTAACGAAAACTAAAGTTTAATTACGAGCACGCCCAATTTGGCACGCCCCTTTCCCGAACAACTTTGCCTAATTGGGGGTTAACAATTTGTAAAACTTATCGAACTATGAGCAAGGACAACGCCCAGCTCATCAATTATGCTGCTCAAGTGCTTTGTGTGCTCCTCAATGTACGTATATATATTTGGTTTCAAAGGGTATAAAAGGACGAGGTTCGAAGGATTATGAGCTGAGAATTGTTTGGTGTCCTTAGAGAGAAAAAGATGTTACCTCGCTTCCTGACCGCCTCGTATCCGATGGAACGGCATTATTTTGCGGTGCCAAAGTTTGCGTTATCGCTGATTGGATTCTATCCGGAGCAGAAGCGAACTTTATTAGTGAAACTCTGGAGTTTCTTCAACTTTTTCATCCTGACCTACGGTTGCTATGCCGAGGCTTACTACGGCATACACTATATACCGATTAACATAGCCACTGCACTGGATGCCCTTTGTCCGGTGGCCTCGAGCATTTTGTCCCTGGTTAAGATGGTGGCGATTTGGTGGTACCGAGATGATTTGAAGAGCTTGATCGAGAGGGTAAGGTTCCTCACAGAAGAACAGAGATCAAAGAGGAAACTGGGCTACAAGATGAGGCTCTATACTCTAGCCACTCGATTGACCTTCTTGCTGTTGTGCTGTGGGTTTTGCACCAGTACTTCGTATTCCGTGAGACATCTAATAGATAATATCCTGAGGCGAGCCCATGGAAAGGACTGGATCTATGAGACTCCCTTCAAAATGATGTAAGTGGAAAAATCAAAACAAAGTTTGGTCCAAAATATAAATTGGGAAAATTAAAAAATATATAAATATATATATAAATTGAAAGAATTTCAATTAAAGAAAATAAAACAAAATAGGGTTCTCAAAGTATAATGAAAAAATTATTTTATTTTTCAAAATGGGTCCCTCGAACTTTCGGTATCAATATTTTTTGTTGCGTACCTTAAGATTCTTTTAAAAATGGTTTTAAGCCCGTTCAATTTATTTGGTACGTAAACTGAACCTTAATTAACACAATTTCTACGAAAATCTAATTTTTTGTTCTAAACTAAATCCTATTTATAGATTTCCCGATCCTCTGCTGCGTCTGCCGCTGTATCCCCTCACCTATATCCTGGTGCATTGGCATGGTTACATCACAGTGGTTTGTTTTGTCGGTGCAGATGGTTTCTTCCTGGGCTTTTGTTTATACTTCACGGTTCTGTTACTCTGTCTGCAAGATGATGTGGGTGATTTATTAGAGGTTGAAAATATCGAAAGGAGCCCCTCCGAAGAGCAGGAAGCTCGGATAGTTCGGGAAATGGAGAAATTGGTGGATCGACACAATGAGGTGGCCGAACTTACAGAGAGATTATCGGGTGTTATGGTGGAAATAACACTGGCTCACTTTGTCACATCTAGTTTGATTATTGGCACCAGTGTGGTGGATATTTTATTGGTACGTATAATCTTTAGTATTATTAATTAATATAAATGTTTGTAATCCTCAGTTTTCTGGACTAGGAATTATTGTTTATGTGGTCTACACTTGTGCCGTGGGCGTGGAGATCTTTCTTTATTGCCTAGGAGGCTCTCATATCATGGAAGCGGTATTTATTTTAAGGATTGCCATAGTGTATTTAAAGAACTGTTTATTTTTGTAGTGTTCCGATCTAGCTCGATCCATATTTGCCAGCCACTGGTATGGGCACACTGTTCGCGTCCAAAAGATGGCACTTTTGATGGTTGCTCGTGCGCAGAAAGTTCTCACAATTAAAATTCCTTTCTTTTCTCCATCCTTGGAGACACTGACCTCGGTAAGTTTTTGTTGGGATTTTATTTTTCATAAAATTATTTAATGATTTTGGGAAACTTCCTTGCAGATTTTACGTTTTACGGGTTCCTTAATTGCTTTGGCAAAGTCTGTTTTATAAATATCATTGTTTTCTGTTCCCTTTCATAAAATATACATTTTAAAAATAATACAAAAATGCAATTATGATAATATCATATCACATCACATAAATATTTGAAAAAATAATTGACAGGAAAAGTTTAGCTAAAAGTCTTGACAGTGCATTTTAAATATGTGTATAATATTTAAGCTATAAACATTTTGTATACCTCCTTCTATTTTACCAATAAAGTTAAAGAGTTCAATTTACTTTTCCTTTATTCATTTCGGACACTCTCTGCACCTGATTTCCCTCTTCTGGCTTAATATTTCCTGTACTGTTTTCCCTTACTCTTTCTGTCTGCGTATGCGTTAATTCGTATATCCTTTACAACAATTTCGGTTTTCTTTTCATTTTCCTCGGCAGCACCTTTGACCCCTGATTGTTGTTGTCGAATTAAAGCTGCACTGTTGTTAAACATTTCCTTGGGTGTCCTTCTGCTCTTTCAGCTGCTCCTGCAAATTGCTTTCTTTGCGTTGCTCATCATAGTCCCCCTCGCTTGCCTTCCTGTTTGGCACTTTCCTCTTGGCCATTCCACTTGGCCATTTTCAGTTGCACGCTTTTCCAACTGCAGTTCATTTCCATACCTCGTGCACTGAAATTATAGCAGATATATAGTTAGTACAGATTAAAATCTGTCAAACTTCTTATGACCCCTTTTGGACTATTACGTTTTCGTTTCGTAATATATGATATAGACAACAGTAACACATTATTATATCCGCAAGTTAGAAATAATACTAGATGTATTCTATTTTGTTGCTTTACTTTTTTATCATTTCTATCAACAGTCTTTATTATCATATGGTCATCTTAATATATTTTTGGGACTTTGGGATAAAAGAAGCGAATAAACTTTCTGTTTAATAGATATTCCTTGTAAATGAGGAAGAGGTATAATGATTTCTTCCAGTGCACACACCCACGCGCACCTTAATGACATCCGGTCTGCGTCTGTGTGGGTAGGGTACTTCATATTCCTGCCGCAGTTGTTGATTTCCCCCCTCCCCCTTTGAAGACAACCTCTTCAGTGAGTGGATGTGTGTTTTTTTGGGGTTCTTCTCGACTGATTTTTGTGTTTTATTTCTCTGTCTGTTTTTTTTATCTCGCCCATTGTTCATGCACAAATTCTTTCCATACTTTTGCCCCTTAATGTTGTAGTCCTTGAAATCCTTTACACGCACATGAGCGGGCCTATCTGCCGTCCCGCTCTCACCCCTCTAGCCGTCCCTCTCTGAATGTCTGTCTGCTCGTCCTTGTTTCTTTTGCCATTTGTTTGTTTATTTTCGCTGGCGCCTCCTTTTGTGAAAAGTGCTTTTGCTTGTAATGTGTTCGACGTCAGAGTTTGGCACCCCTTTTTCTTTTTTATACCAACTCACCATTATAACCCCAGCCTCTTGAGCCCCTCTTTTTTCGATAGTAAGATACCTATAGTTTTTCTAGACAGTGAAAACATTTCGTATTTTGCTGGTAAAACTTAATTTATATATTTAATTTTATTTTAATAATTTTGCGTGGCTTGCGTTTTGCAAATAAAAGGTATTTTATGAATTGAGATAAGTACTGATAGTGTAATTTGTAAGAAATTCAAACTAAATTTTCGGTCTTATTTATAACCAGGATTAAACATATTTTTTTAATTATTGTTCATATGTTTTTAATAAACCAAAATCAAGGAGTATTTTTAGTTGCACTTTCTGACCAAAGCTTTCTACCACTTGATGCTTTCTTCACTGGTTTTTTTGAGGTTCTGCTCTGTGTTCATTTTGCTTTTCTTGTGTTCCACATGATATTGCTAGCTGGCTTGTTGCTTGTTATTTTTTATTTTTATTTCTTTTCCATTCAGTCAGAGCTCAGAACTTGTTTTTACCCCAACCGAAAAGCACCGCCCACAACCCCTTCGACCTTACCACCCACCCTAGCCCCCCTTTTTCCACCCAAACCTTGTTAATGTTGTTCGTTTTCACATTTTTATGTGCATTTTGTGTGTGTGCGAGAGTGTGGGTGTGTGTGTGGTGAGCTCAACTCATACATCCGCATTTGCTACGCAATTTTTGCACTCAAGTTTACCTACTTTTTATGGTAAACACCCAAGGTTGCTTGTTTATTCTAGCAAAAATGTATTTAGGTGAGCTTAACTACATGTGGATGAGTGCGATGGGAATGGAAATGGCGGTGGAAACGGCAGTGGAGATGGAAATGGGGTTGGGTAAGGTCACCAACTGGGGGTCACATCCACAGCATTACTCCGAAAAGGAGAAAGTTAAATAAATACTTCAGCTCCTTCCCTCTGGATTATCGCAAATACATTTCTCTGTTAGCCTTCAATAATTATTTTGCGGGTGGGAATTTGCTCTGCGGATTAAGGAAGCCAAATAGTTGGTTATGGTGGGCGTGTAAGCCATATTATAAATACATTAATACACACACAAATGGGTATGGACGAGTGTGAATAATTAAATGTGACAAATATGCATAATGCGGCGGCAAAAATAAAAATTATAAAAAGCACCATGCATTTCAATTGGAATTCATAAATGCTCTTCAAAGTGCGAGTATTCAGACAGAAAACACAATTAAATCGGGTTCTTGTTCGCTTATTGAGAGTAAAGAATTCACTTGATTTTAATTATTAAATTGGTCACGTTTGTGTCTTTCCATTTAAAGCACTTTTGATGTATATTAAATTTAGTTTAGTCCTGGAATAATGGTTTAATAACAAATAAATGTAAAAAATAACTTCAGTTTGCTACGCCATTTAAAGTAATTTGGGGAATACGGTTCTTAACCTGTGCCCCTAAACGTTCTGGTAGATGCTCCCTTGTTGTTCTTGTCAACGAGGGCGAAATAATTTTAAATGTCATTTTTACCTACACGACTAATTAAATTTCGAATTTTATGCCCGACAGGCCAAGTGAAATGTACATAAAACAAGGAGCATGGCGGCGAATTAACAAAAACAAACACGACCGACTGTAAAATGGTGACCCCAACAAACGCAGCATTTTCCGAGGGGCCTGGAAAATCCGGGGAAAAGCATAGGGACTGTGAAGGAATGCGCCAGCATCGCCATATGAGTGAAATTTTAAGCAGGCGCCAAAGTCTTTGGGCCATTTTCTCCGTTCGAGAGGACAAGACACGTTCGCCGGCACAACAAAAAAATGGAAAAATAGGAAGGGGTTGGGAAAAATCGCGAGGGGGGATCCATTAAAATTCCGTTGGGTTATTGCAAAATAAATCCACTTGCAAGTGGTATAAAACAAAACAACAGCACTCAGTCGAGAAGGCGAAGAAAGCGCCGCTGTGAAAGGGAAAAAGCATAAAACTCGTCATCGTCAGCGTTTTTTCCTTCGGCGGCGTCAAATGCCAAACGCATGTGATTCCTGCAGTCCTAGAATTCCGAAAGCAACACAAGTGAGCCTTCTAACACTTTGGCACTTGAAGAAAAATTTAAATCTATATAAAATTATCAACAAATTGCAACATGACCCTAAACTCTTTTTTATAAAAGTATCTAAAAGTATGCAGTGAAAAGAGAACGTCCTTCACAATGAATCCTGTGGATTCACATAATACTATTACAATCTCAATGTTATGTTTCTAACCTTGGAATATTTCTCCCAGTGCTCTCACACATACACGTAACCCTGCGCCCTCGTCCTTGTATGAAATGTGAAATGGCAAACAAATATTTTTTTGATGTACGGCCTAAAAGTATGCATTGAAATTCAACACGCGGCAAGGGACACCAAAAAACGTTCCCAGTATTGATTGGTGGTACAGAGGGGTATAAAGAAGGGGGCTCCGAGGGGTTTTCACGGGGTGTTGGAGGCGGATTTTAGGCGTGTGGTATTTGAAACTCGAAATTAGCACCAGATCCTTGTTGTTTAAAGCGAGACACGAGTCGGCATCAGGAAATTACAGACGCTGTAAAGTGGAATAAGTTGGCGGGATGGTGGCAAGTCAAGTGAATTGAAATGGTAATGATACATGACAATGCCCCGTAGATAGGGACAGGAATGTATATGGGATACTGACAATCTTTCGCGTTTGATGTTGCGATGCTGTGTCATGGGATCGCTTTAAGTGCGTAGCATTTTCGCGGTTATTACAACCAAGGTTGTCTCTTTTTTATTTCCTAACAAGTTGGATCATGTAAGTTTACTGTGGAATTCGGTATGATAATAGCTAGAAATGGGGTATGAATTTTAATTTTAAAATGTTTTTGAAATTTAAAAATACTCCTTAAAATAATTAAACATGTTTTCTTGTCCTTTCCACTTTCTTGGGAATTTAGCTCTCCCTTTATCTCTCTAAAGAGTTGTCTGAGTTGCGCACAGTTTTTATCACGCATACGCCTAGTTGAGCGCCTAAAGGACTGAGGCGCAATTAGAGACAACAAGCGGCCGTCTACCCCTCTCTTTCTGCACCCCATTCCCCGTCTCTTTCGGCAGTTTCCCCGCTTCTAGCTGGTTTTCTTCACAGCAGCACATAATCTGCATACAAATGCGTTGATTTGCCTAATCGACGCCTATTTGTTTGGACCAAGAAAACAGCGAAAGAAACCAAAAAAATAAAAGAACACACTGAATATTCTGGATGGCGAAAGTTTTCCCAAGGAAATGCCAGGCGGAAGAGAAAAGGGGGCGCGGCAAGTAAACCGACGTTTAATTTTTGGAAAGCGCGAGCGTGTTGCACGCATTAAAATTAAAAGCGAAGGCGAGCACGCCTCCAATTCCCCGCCCCTATTTCCACTTTTCCTTCGTACGTGATGGTTATTCCGGAAAATTCGGGCGAGGGCTTGGAAAATGGGAACGGAAGTTGCCTTTGACTATGTTTTGCATTTGCATGCGAATGTTTTTTCATTGGCATTTTCACTTTCGTGTTGGAACCACGCCCGCATCAAAAAATAAAAACACGTGGCGGGTAATCTTTTTATTTCACATTTTTTAAACATCAAAATCAATTGTCAACTAAGACACGTATACTTTGTGCTACACTTTCCAAGTAACT